CCCCGGTTGTGCTGGAACACATGCGAAGAGTAAGGAGCTGCCAGTGAGTGACAGCGAAGCAACGAACGTACCAAAGAAGGTGGTGGGGAGCGCGAGACGTCATCAGCCGAGTACGGACCAACGGTGGCAGAACAAAATGAAGGATTAAGACACTCACCAGCTCGGCTCGTATCATAACCGGGGCAGTTGTGGTGTAGGGATTTCCAGATTCGACCATACGCCGACCTACTTTAGGTCAAGAATCGGCTTGGTCTGATAACCCAGAGCTTAGGAGCCAAGGATCACGGTAAGTACTCGGCGATCTGTCCGGATATGCTATCCGGATAGCCGCTGAGCTCAACGGCCGCCTGAAGAGTCGGTAGAGATCCGAAACGACTACATTTCACTAGATATTTGTATGAGAAGCATAGGATTAAATAGGAGGAGCCGAAAAGGCTCCCAGAAGATAACAGAGCAGAATTTTCCTAGTCCAAGACACGTGTACACTTTTCCGGTAAGTCCCTGCATAGGGCTGGATTGGGCAGCCAAAATGTTAACCCGCTCAAGTAATGTTTGCGTGACTCCACTGTTCCCGTACTTTAGTGCCGTAAAATGTCGCCGAACAATGCAGTAGAAGCAATACATGTAGTAGCTTACAGTTATTACACGAACTTGTGAGTTTGTTGCAGTGTGTAAAATCTCAGCAAACCGATGACCAGTAGTCTGCATCCGATGACTGGTCTTTCGAACCTAAATCCTACTTCGAAGTACTACGTAGTAGTGCATTAAGGTCGAAATGCTTCGTAGCGTGCAATACTTCAACGCCATCATATTTCTATGGCGTATTTATCGCGTACCTACGTCTCCCCTCTTGATCCGGATCGTTTAATTGACCGAAAAATTTACGCAAGGAGGTGCAGCGGCTCAATGATCCAGTCGATATCTTCCGGCTTGGTAACTACCGACTCAAACTGCCAAATCGCCTTGTTCGACCTCGCAATTTCTTCGGCATCGTCTGAGTCCGGCAGCGTCATGCTCACACGCTCCGTGATATCAAACAGCACCGCCAGTTTTAGTCGCTCATCGACCGGAACACCCAGCACGGTGGCACCCGAAGAGTTTGTTGTCGACCGCTTCGCTACTCGTTCATACTGAACACTCATCAAATGCGCACTATGCACTTCGATCTTCTTCATCTCTGCACGAACTCCGGCACTGGCTGACTGCAGCACGAACGACTTGAACGCTTTATAGCTCACGGTCTCCAGCGATCGCTCCACCATTTCTGCACTCTCGCAGTCTGGTTTCAACGGCCCCGGAGCCTCAGCCTCACGTGCGACGTAGTCTGCAAACTCGTTCGAGTACATGGCCGTCATTGTCGCTCCCATCGCGTATTTGGCACCTTGAATAAAGTCGACCAGATCCAGCTGAGTGTGTTGTGGTCGATTGAGGTGGTAAAACATCAACCAATTGGCCAGCCAGCTCATGCTCGAAGGAGCGAACACGCCATGTGTCTTATACTCTTCCAGGAGTCCCTTGCGATCTCGTACTCTGGCCAAAGTGTCCAGCACTTCTTGAAAACCTTCTGCAGGACGTTTCTGGTTATCGGGTTGCGAAGAATATCGACGAGTTTGACACAGTTCCAAGGAGTTTACCGCATTAAGCTTGAGCGCAGAGCTGGGTCTATATCTTGTAAAGCTAGCGACATGTTTGTCATAGTGGTAGACGGAGGGGCTGGGGAGACGACAGAATCTTACGCGCATTACTGTACGGAGAGGCGAATTGTGTGGCTGTCAAGTGGCACAAAAATTTGGTAATCACCAATTTGTTTACCGGTAATTCAACTTTGAAAATGAGAGATCACAACAGCTGCTTTAATATTTTTTAAATACTAATAATTTCTGGTAATAAAATCACTTGCTGAGTTGATATTTACACGTAAGCAAATTCTGAAGCAACGCGCGCATACCGGTATATAAATTAGCTTAATACTAGAACATGCAGACTAGTTAATAATATAATATATTAATAATATATTGTACTATTAACTAGTCGAGACTGCGTCAAACAAAATGTTACTTACGAACCTTTAAGAGTTATCGAGATAATCGAGCTTAAAGTTGGCCAATTGATTTTCGCACTTAACCGAAACAGTGACATTTATTGTAAACTTCCATCGAAAAAACTGTAAAACCACCCTTACGTAATTGCTTTTAGCAAGAGCTTTTAAATAACACTTAAATCTCTAAAATTGAAAAAGTATTGAGCTCACAACACTCCTAAATGTATCGTCATTTCGAGGGCCCATAAATGAAGATAATATTTTTGAGCGACCACAACTTCTTCAGTTTTAAGCATTCTGCAGCTCAAAAAATAGAGGAGACGCCCCGCTTTCGTTTAAATCGCGATTCGTACTTAGGTTCATAAGTAACATTTTGTTTGACGCAGTCTCAATATGTTTTTAAATAACACTTGAATCTTTAAAAAAAAAAATATTGAATCCTGAATGCGTCATTTCGAGGGCCCATAAAATTTACGACATAAATTTTATGGCCCCTCTGTGTGTGGGCATTCAGGGATTAAATACTTTTTTTCTTTAAAGATACAAGTGTTATTCAAAACATATGGAGACTGCGTCAAACAAAATGTACTTATGAACCTAAGTACGAATCGCGATTAAACGAAGCGGGGGCGTCTCCTCATTATTTTGGAGCGCAGAAGACTTAAAATGGAAGAGAGTGGGGTCGCGCCCAAAAAATATTTCTCCTTTTGGGGGCCCCGCAAAAG